AGGGTAGGCAATTGCACCACCTCTGGAGGGAGCTTATTACACAGTCTGGACACCCTAGTTGTGAAGTAGTTTTTCCTTAATGTTAAGCCTGAAACAGTCTTCCAGGAGTTTGTGGCCATTACTCCTAGTTTTCCCCAAGGGTGCCCAAGCCCTTGATGTACGCCTCCGTTGTAGCAGTAACCTGCTACCAAGTCCCCTCTCAGCCTTCTTTTCCTCAGGCTGACCCAAAGCCCTCAGCCTTTCCTCATATGGTTTTATAGCAAAACCCCCCGTTGTTCTTTTTTTATTTATTTAAAAATACATTCCCTCCCCTTCCCCAACCATTTCTGACTTTTTCTCTACCTCTCTATTGCTATAGATGAGTATAAGTGAGTGAAGACGAAGGATAAGCTTCAGCATTTTATTTTGGTAGCAAGTTGTATTTGTTTTGGTTTTTCCTCCTCCTTTTCAAATAAGTGCCCTGTTATGGATATGCACTGTTTTATATTGTATAATTATTATGTTTATATTGATTTTTTACTGTTCTATATTACTATTTTACTGATGCTATGATTTAGGCCTACATACAAGTTAGTATAAGTCATGTCAAGTTTCCATTTTGTTTGTCAAGTCTCCATCTTGTGTCCCCTGCCCAGCCATACCCTATTGTAACTCTGTTGCAACTGTGCGACTCATACCTACCCCTCCTATGTAACTTGGTTCCTGAATGAATGGGGATGAGTGAGGGTGCTTGAGAGACAATGGCAGTAGGTCTAAAAATAGCTCCCTCTGAATGACCAAATGATCAACTCCATGACCCAACCATCACCCTGCACTGACCCTCCCTGGCTCAGGATTTGAAAGACAAAGACTGCTGCAGATCCCACACAAGCCACCATTCCAGACACCTGAAACTGCATGCCCTGACCTGGAATGCACATGTTCAGTGCACCAGGGTTGGCCCTTGCCTGGGCAGGCCCCCTGCCACTGGGGTCATGGAAGGTCCGCCCCTATAAAAGGGGGCAGTAAAGACAGACCCAGTGGGGACGCCATCTTTACCTGGACCAGACCTGCTCCACGTCATGTTGCCTGTTAACCCAGAGGCCCTGCCAGCGACCCCCCCAACTCTGGACAACACCTGTTGGACAAAGATCCCAACTGGCCATTGAGGACCCTGTTCCAGCCTGGATAGGTAGCTATCACCCGCACCCTCTCTTCAACCAAGGACTTGGACTCCGTTTCTCTTCCCTACCAGGACTCCAGCCCTTCCACTGAGTCTTTCTCCTGCTACCATTGTGAGTGCTTGTGCATGTGTGTGTGAACCAATAACTTCATACGGCTGTGTTGTCTGTTTAATAAGCCTGTTATTTTGAAACCCCGAGTTGGGTTTTTGTCTGTTTCCTGACCATTTCTCCCTTGCCACCACTTATCAGCCCCAAGCTCCCAGCTTTCTGCCTCTCCCTTTCCTGGCTGTCTCCTCCTTGCCACCAGGCTTTTCCCCTTGCACCAGTGATCTTGAGTAACTCGGAGGCCACTTGATCTTAAGTTACCCCAGCTCCCCTCCAGTCTCCCGGTTCTAATCCTGGCCCCAGCAACTTTCACTGTCTCATTTTAACCCCCATGCATCTCCCTCCTTCCGGAGATCTTTGACCCTTGATTCCCACTCCCATAGTCACCAAGCAGTCTTGGTATCCCAAGTACCCTAAGCACATACATACACCCCACACCACCCAAGTTGTGTATGTGCAGGTGGGTGGGTTGTGTGTGAATTGGTAAATATACATATATGTCATTGTGTGTGTGATATACAAATAAGTGATCCGTGTATGTGTATTGGGTGTACGGGTATTGACAATTGATTTTTGTCTAAATTTTGGTGTATATAGTGTATAGGTGCTTGAATTGGTTATAGGTGTGCGTGTGCCTAAGCTGGTAATTTTGGATGTGTATGAGCCTGAGTTGGTAGTGTGCGCGCATGCCTGGTGGGGGTGTATGCACCTAGAGAGAGAGAGAGAGAGAGAGAGAGAGTGAGTGTGTGTGTGTGTGTGTGTGTGCGCGCGCGCGCGCACGCACAATTGTGTCATACCCTTCTGTCTAACAGTACAATATTGAGATCCTGAGAGTTGGCCTGGCCCCACAGGACAACAGTTTGCTGCACAAGTCTCTGATCATACAGGTAGCCCTTCTCTGGACTCTCTCAAGCTTTACCACATCCTTGTTAAAGTGTGGCACCCAGAACTGGATGCAGTACTCCAGCTGTGGTCTCACCAATGCCAAATAGAGTTGGAGAATCACTTCTTTGGCTTTGCTGGAGATGCATCAATTGATGCATGCCAGGGTATTATTGGCCTTGCTGGCTACAGTGTCACACTGCTGGCTCATGTTCATACTGTAGTCTATTATTACCCCCAGGTCCCTTTCATTCTTAGGATACCAAAACTCATCCCCAAATTCACAGGTCAGTACAACTGGGCAGCCCACAAGGAGTTAGTGTGGTCCTGGGCTGACTGCAACAGCAGCAGCTGGGTAGGAGAGTATAGGCTCTAACTCCCGCCACTGGAGGCAACACACTGCAGCCTATGGCATCCAGGGAACTTGTGGCAGGTGTGAAGAAATCCCCTTCCCCTCTCTTTGATCCCCACTTGGGTCAGCCTAGGTAATACCCTTCTCCTTGCTTTTTTCTTGGTTTGCTCAAAGTGTATTCTGACTTCCTTGTTCTACCTTCTCCACCTCCCCCCTTTCAATAAAGGTGTTGGGTTACAACCTTCATTGTTCTGCTGCTGAGGCAAGAGGCCTTCCATTCCCTGCTTGGCCAGCAAAGTTTGGCTTTTTATTTTCCTCAGTTCTACCTGATGCTATCTTGGGATGTTTGGGGCTGGAAGAAGCACCCAGAAATATTACTGTGGTCAAAGCATCCCCAAGATTTGTAGGGTCTGTGTGCCCTGGTATGCAGAGCCCTACCAGAGATCAGTGCCCAGGTGGTGGCAACATTACCCCAGGCTTGTGGGTGTTCTCCAGGAAGCAGGACAGCCAGCTGTAGGCTCCTCAAGAGAGACTCCCAAAGCAAGGTTTTGGACTTGGCACAGTGAGGCAGGTGGCTCTGCATAGTAGTGTACTACCACAGCTAGCATAGTTCAAACATCCACCCATGTACGTTGCAGTGCTGGGGGAGGAAAGGAGTGTGCCAGGCTGACTTAGAAGTTGGACAGACCTGTCTTGGGCCACAAATGTTCAATCTGTAAGTTGTGCAAGGCCCTTACGGTCAGTAGCTATTGTGCGACTGCAGGGACCAGAAAGAAGCAGAACTCGCTGCTGACTGCTCTAATTGCACTTCAAGAAAAGGGAGCTGAGCAGCTGCTATTGGTCCTATAGAGAGCCAAGTCTTTATGCCCTGTTGAGTGAAAAAAAGAACAGGGAAGCAGAATAGAGGACCCATACACAGAAACATACTAAGAGAAAGGCAAGGGGCATCTCAGCCAGCCCCCAGGACTTAGCGAGAAAGGAGAGATCCAGAAAAAAAACAATGTAGGGGGCTGCTCCCACTTCATGAATATTCTCTAAGAGATGAACCCTGGCAAAACAGGAATGGAAAAGTCGGGTAGAGCTCAGCATAGATTCCATGATGGGGCCAGGGCAGAGGGATATACAGCTGTAGTGGCATGACTGTGAGCCATCTAGGGACATGCACGCAGCACCCCACAACTGATGATGAAGTTAAGAATCTTGGCCTGAGATTACAGAGCATTTTTATAGTCTCTCTCACAGAGAAACCTTTGACTTGAGGTTTCATGAGTGCCTATCTAGACAAGAGGCAAAAGCCCAAACTGCCATACTGAGGGGGTGACAAAGCCAGAAATCAGCAGGGCAGATTTCACAAGCAGTGCTACATGGGATTTGGGGGACAATAGATGAGAGGCCAGGATACTTCAAGGGACAGTCTTCAGGCCTCAGGAATCCTTCAGCAGGCGTGAGGGTACTGTTCAAGAGGGGCCCTGCTGCAAGGCATGCCCCAACAGCAGCTGCTGCTTCTACTCCTCACCACCACCCCTTCTTCCTGCCCATAGGAATAGAGGCGGCAGCAGCTGCATGGAGAACAGCAAGTTTACTAGCATCTGCAGCTAGTGGCAAGGCCAGACTACACTGCTCTCTGCATAGAGCTTCAGAACCCACTGTGCCCTCTCCACATCACCTTCCCCCTCCCTGCCACTCCCCACAGAATAAGTCAGAGGAAACAACTGGGATCCTCAGCTCTGTCAAAAGCACAACTAGCAACACCCTGGCATGCCATTTTACAGCATCAGAAAGAGACCAGCAACTTAAGTGACTGCTTTGGGAGTGGATTCTTTGAATGCCATACTCAATGTGAACCTGGCTAGTACAGTGAGAGCAACTGTGTAGATCTTACACAAAGGACTTTCCCAAGAGTTGCATTTAAAGAAACAGCAATTTTAAAAGCAGCCTCCCCCTAAAAAGGCCTCATCTCAGGTACTCCTTCAAGTGACCCAATCTGCTGATGTTTACTTTGATATGCTGCTCTCCGTTTTAGTCACCTCAAAGACGTATCCAGTGCTCTAAGACAACTTGATTCCCTGGGTGTGGAAATCAGCTGCCTGCTTATGTAGCAGTTACTTGCACAGGAAGCACATCATCCATTCTGTGATCTGCAACAGCTGCTGATTACAGTACAGATTAGTGTTTAATTTATAAGGCCTAAAATGCTTTGGGTAGTTGATGACTCCTTGTGCAATATACCACCACAGTAGGTGATCAACTAAGTGCCTGGGATAGCTCCTGCTATACAGAGGATGGCTGAGGATTTCAATGAAGGCCTATGACTAAGAAAAAAAACCCACTTCCCCAGTGGCAAGTTGCACATCCACCACACTGCTCAACTTGTACACAGGTCAGGATGTCCTAGTGATAGAGACCATCAGGACTGCACTGTCTAGGAAGCATCTGAGTAATATTCTCCCCCAGGACACCAAAAGGTTAGCTGCAAAAAAAGGCACACAAGTCATGGATGACAACTCAAATAGTGCACATTTATTCTGAATGGTGTTTCTAAAAAGTTTGAGAAAAAACAAAACATGCTCCTGATGTATAACAAGGGCAATGATCTAGATCAGAAACAGATGATCTTACTTGTAGGAGTTTCCTCCCCCTACAATTTAAGTCATAACATTGAGGATGAATCTGTAAAACTGCACCGTGCATCTGCACATTTGAATGAAGTCCTAATCGACAGACCAGCAGAAATCTTACTCAGGATCAATTGGAAGCCATTACAGATTCAGAAGAAATATCCAAGTCAGCAAATGCATTACAAAAACAAAGGCCTTGCATACAGCTGCTGACCATAGATCACAGCACATGGGAGAACAACAATAGATACTTTTTTCTTGAGGAGGGGAAAAGGGGGTGTTCAAATTTACAAGGCATCACAGGGCACCATCAAGAAGTAACAAAATATCACAAGTTTTCTCAGCTGTAACAGCATCTCATATTTAACCGGCATGTTTAACCACTAACTGCATCTTGTAAACTGAACCACTGTAGATACAAAAAACCCTACTCCCTCCCCCCAAAAACAGGAGGGACATTTCCCCTGGTTGCTGCTTCCTCACAGTGCCCCTTCTATCATGGTCTTCTGCCAATGAAAGTCTGTTTATAGACAAGCTCTTCAGGGTTCCATTGATGGATGACAAAAAGCTACTGAAGAGTGATACGCATATAAAAGACAACTTAGACCTGGATTAATCTGATAGTTGCATTAATCTATCTTGCAAATTCTCCATCCAGAACAGAAGTGCTGGTGATTATTTCACAGAAACTTCCCACTCTTGTTTAAATAGTTGCAGATATGCTGTTGCTTTCAAGTTAGTGGGAGGACCTACTGCAGTAGCATATGAAGTAAGAGTTTCATTGCAGAAAACTCATACTTGAACACTATTCTAGTATCTCCTTAGAATAACACCAAGATACACTATTCTCTTCCCATACATACCAGGCTGGATGCACTAGTATTAACACAACCTGTTGCTGTTCAGAACTGTTGCCCTTCACTTTACCTTATCCATGTACAGGGGTACTGTTTTCCAAGAGGTTTTAAATTAAACCTTTTTATGTGCTTAAGAATATGATCAACCATTTTCCAGGATTAATAAACTGGTTTCTCTCCCTTCCACATACTATGAAATATTTAGTTAAAAGATAGAATGAGGCAAGTTCTCTGTGGAATGGGAACTCTAAAAATTGTTGTAGGGATACATTCATAGAATGATGGAAGCCCAAAGCAAAAAGAAACAGAAACAAAAGTTAATCCAAGCAAGTTCAGACACCAGACCCATCACTTATACTTTTAAACCAGCAGGAAAACTGCCTGCAAAACAATTTGATTTGTGAAAGCCTACAAACACCACCAAGTCTGAGAAGTTCAAGTTTCCACACCCATTTAACCAACCCAAATACTTAACCATTTAGTTCTAGAAGAATGAAGAGCACTTTGCTTGGCATCAGAGGCAGCTATGGTCTGGACTACAGATGTATTATGTCAACATCATTCAGTACAATACTCTCTCTCCCTCCACATACACCTCTTGGTCCTTGTCTAATTGGCCAGGAAAACCATACTGGTATCCATGAGCTAATTGTGCTTCAATGTTTTCTTGCTAGAGAGGTTCTGGAACTACCTCCAAAACTGGCATAAGAAGATATAAATAGGCTATCTCCATCCACAGAAAGTGTTTGGACCTTTCTAGCAAGAGTGCAATAGGGGCTGATGTGAACACAGGTGCCTGGGCCAGCACAGGGTATTTTACAAAGAACTGCCTGTTGACCATCACCAAAACCCAATTAGTGCAAACCCAGAAAAAGTATTTGAGCAGTTCTGCTTGGACCTGTCACAGTATCATAGAAGCAACACACCTTATGATGGCATGTGGCAATTATTAAGATGCCTACTTGGCCATTCCTTTGATATCAAAGACTGCATAAAGTGGGAAGAAGGGTACATGTACTCATCTTACTCTTCGATCCCCCACCTTGAAATCCTTGGTACCCAAGGTAGCCTCAGAACAATGGCACAGCACCCACTAACAAGATGTGTACAGCAATGTGTACCGTACGGTGGAGACTTTCAAACTGAATGAACTCAAGATGAAACTGAATTTAAAAAGGCAACAGAAAAGGAATGCAATTTGATATCAGTATAGGTGATGGGACAGGAGTGTTGTCTCAGTTCAGTGCATTTTTCCAGAAGCTTAAAGTCTAAGGTCAAGTTGGTATTTTGTCCTGGTGCACATAACTGATGGCAAAAGTGCATACAAAGTAGCACTGTAATTCACACAAAGCAAAAAAGAATGCAAAGCAGAGCTCAGTAAAGTTTACTGCAATTTTAAGGTTACAGTACTACGAAGAAGCCAGTCAGGCAACTATTTTCCAAATTCTCATGCTCTATTACGAGCTACTTTTTCTGTGCTCCATAAAATACCCTTTAACATGAGAACTGCATTGCTGCCACAGGGGGAATATGAAAAGTCTTCACAGGCATAGAAAATGCAGTTCTTAGCCACTTCCTCCCTAAGGAGCATATAAAGTTCACAAGCTAAGTGAAGCCCAATTCAAGCCAGAGGTCCTCCTGCAAAGCTATATCATTAGGGTAAGATTTTGTTTTTTCTTCTCAACCTCACTGCCTGGTTCTCCCTACCCATGACCCAATTTCAGGTTTCTAGAAGTGTGCAATTCTTACTGAAGTACATATGATGCCTGTAGTCCCTTCTTTCACCTCAGGAATCCAGATACCGTAGAGTAAGCTCTAAAAGGAGAGAGAAGTCCTAGAAAGCTTCACTTGTTCTTAAAACTACATCCACACCTCTAAATTCAATTTTGTAAGGCTGTTCTTGTTCACATTAGATTTAGCTTACTGTTGTAGACATTTTTTGAGAATGGAATGGGTAAAATGATAATGATAAAATAAAAGAAAACCTGTAAAGCCCACTGTGAACCCTTTTGGGGGGGGTCAGTCAAGGAATGTAGCACCAGCTTTGGTAAGGACTATTTAAAAAAAAACAAAAAACCAAACCTCACACTATGAGTCCAGGCAGAGAAACAATACTGGTAAACCAGTCTGCCCTTCTCAGCAAAAGATGGAGGAAAAGCCAAACCCCAAAATAGTGAGAAGAACCAAACATGTTTTGGGGGAGGTAAGGGGAAAAATAAATTGCCAATATAATGTTCACATGCATTTGGAGGGCCAGCAAACCCCCCAGGTTGTTAAAAAAAAAAAAAAAAAAAAAAATCAAATTGGTATTATAGGACTCCAAGGACAAGATATTGCTTTGCCTTTCAAGACAGTTTTTTTTTGTTTTTTTTTTTTAGGATCTACCTCTCAGTGTGTTACCAAGTGATAAATCGCTCTGGAAGAAACCTGACCTCAGGAAAACCTGTTCAAGCCCTCCACACTTCAAACTAAAGAAGATTTGCACACCTCTTCCCACCCAATTAAAAATAACCAAACAAACAGAAAGGAAGAGAACTGAAAAACCCAAACATGAATGGACAACCCTTGGAAGAAGCATTACACTTTTGTTGAAGAGAGGTCAAGAAAAAAATTAAGATGAAGGGAAGAAAAAACAAACAAAAAAAAACAAAACAAAAACAAAGTCAACAGGCCTCTCTCTTATTTGGCAACAAGCAAGTGCAAGAAAGTGTTCGTTGGGGTTTTGTTCAGTTGTCGGTCTTCTGCACATCTGCATTTTGGCCAAGACAAGGGACTTTGAGGTTTTTCTGCAGCACGTGAGCATCTGCTGGCTCTATCCTTTTGTAGTAATTTTTCTTCGTCTCAATAATCTCAAAACCAAACTTTCTGTAGAAGTCAATTGCTGATTCATTGCTGATCTGAACATGCCTGGGACGGAAGAGAAAGAGAGGTCAGAATTGTCCAAAATATATTATTTTTGATTATTCAGGACTTTGAGCCAATGAATATCAGTTATGAAGGAGGTGAGAAGGAGAACACTCAGTCTAAACAGAAATATAAACCAGGTTAAGTCCAGGATTGAAAACTACGAACTTCTAAGTCTAACCCTGTACCAACACAGATTTCCTATGATTTTGCAGGAATCACTGAAAACTGGCCTAAATTTCCCCATTTGTGAAATACAGATGATATTTTCCACAAAGGAGCTGAGTAGCTAAACAGAATAAAGTCTTCCAAGAAAATGAAGTGCTAAAGTTAAAAAATTACTTTTTTGAAGTGAAAACTACAGGTATGTTGTAAAACAACAATACTAACTTGCTTCATTGTAGACTGTTGAAATGTTTTTAACTTCTTACAGTTATACTCATTAGGGACTTCAAGCACTACAGGAGTATACATGCTCTGGACTCATTTGATGACAATCCTAACACAACTTATCTCCCACAATAGGTGTGAAGGTGGTGTGAGAACATCCCACCCACCAGAAGAGTTTGGGCAGCACAGATAAAATGTATGAGGCTCTTGCCTCTCCAGAGTTTGACAAAACTTGATAATATACTAAGAGACTGGAGCTCCCCCAAATAGTCTTTAAGCTTTATATCCTAAATGGCTCAGGCACTTAATTGCTCTAACAGGTTTTACATAAAAAGACCTGTTTGAACTCCTACAGGGACAGCACCATCTGTTAACTGTATATTCCCAGAGCCCAACAGACATGGTGTGAACGTGAATGTCACTTTGACATACATGTCAAGTGTTAAAGTAAAGGATGTGGAACCAAAATAGCTGTTGAATTAGTGGAACACAGAGTCCAGCTGTGATCCAGTGATGCCCAATATCTGGGAGAGTATTTCATACTACTGACCAATTAAGTCATCACTAGAAAACAGATTTTTAGACAAAACGGAACCAGTATCTTTAGATTTAAGTGTCTGTACCAGCAAACCTATGAGCAAAATCAACCCCAAATGATCACTTTTAAGAAGTAGCTGGTATGCCTGAGAACTACTGGTCTCTCACTACAGAACTGCATTTTGGAGATGATTATGCAATGAAGACTCCTGTAACAACAGTAAACATACATGATAAATTAAGACATTTTCCAGCATGCTCACTTCTGTAGCTTCTTTATCTGAAGAGATTAAAGGAAAACCTTGATCAATTAACAAGTGTTCAAAAAGGGACCTAGCAGTTCAGCTAGGGGAGAACAAGAACACATTTTAAAGAGCAGTATAATCAAGCACCCAAGTTATTTTATCAGTCATAAAGTAGGGTCAGGCCAGTAAGGTTCTGTGAATCACCCTGGCATAGGGACTCTGCTCCATCTCCTTGCCAGTGAGGGCCTAACCACTATCTAGAGATGTTAGTTCATCAAACACTTCCTACACAAGGGTCATCAGTAGTCCTGGTCGAGGTTTAAAATTCTAGTCATCCCCTTTGAGGCAGAGGATTGAAGGCACATTCTCTAGTGATCTAGTTCTTTAGCATACAAAAATAGGCTGGGTGCCATTAAACACCATTACTTCTGGTGGCAGTGCATTAACATAAGAAATACTGCAACTACTATTCTAAAAAGGCGAGAGACTGCTGAGCAGTAAACATCTCTCTTAAGTTCTTGTTACTGAGAAGCATTTAATCATCAAAAAGCAAAAACCAACAAGAAGTTATCTTGCTGTTTGACCGTTAACATATAGCAGGGGTGGTCAAACTGTGGTTCCCAAAAGAAGTCATTTAATGAAAAGTTATCAGTCAAGCTAGAGTGCTGTATAACAATCACTGAGTATGAGGCCTGCACATCTCAGAAGTGTGGTGTCCTTCAGCTCTAACCTCTGTAAAATTTTGGTTTGCAATTGGAAGGATTACAAATTTTGGCCAGCTCTGGCATACAGCCACAGGTCTGAAATTTAGCATTGGTTTTGGGGAAGCTGTCCAATTCTCAAAAGTATCAGGAAACAAACCTAGAAACCAAGTGCTGGCCAGCTGGCTTGGCACCACTTGTATGATGGGGGGCTTTCGGTTGACCCACAATGCCAGTGTAATCCAAGGTGAAATGCTGTTGCACCCACTTCACTTTTCTTTAAGCCCATAGAGTTTTCCCCATGCCCACAAGAACTAACATTTACTCACAGATAGATGTTGTCAAAAGTGCCATCTTTTTCACAGATGTTTAAGACGTGATTCAACATTTTAGTTCCTGCCAGGAAGTAAAGAGATGCTTAATCAAACCAGAAAGGTGCAATTATGTTAGTTATGTTTGCACTGGACTTATTAACTGCTGAGTGCCTTATGTGAAGATATGTAGCTTTCAGTGAGCTCATAGAGCACATGCTGAAGGAATTGCTACTGTACTCTGAAGTAACAAAGCAAGTGGCAACATCACATGCTAAGTGTGGTTATTGGCAACAGCTATGTCTTCACATCAAAAGGCCAGGAAAAAGAAGCAGAAAGGCTACTGCACCAAAGCTTGCTTTTTTGCAACCCTTTTTACCAAAAGATTCCAAGCCACCTTACATATTTATGAACAGACCCTCAACAGCTCATGAAGGAAACAACCCCTAGGTAAACAGAGGCAGAGAGTCTAAGACAGGGGTGGACAATTATTTCAGGCGGAGGGCCGCTTACCAAGTTGTGGCAAGCTGTTGAAGGCCACATGGGTAGCCCCACCCCTTGACAGATGCCCTGTCCCTTGGTCACCATCTTGGGACCAATGTCCCAGGGCCAGCACTGGTGGGGCACAAAGCAGGGCACAGGCTGGCAGGGCTCTGTGGAGCCGGGCTGGGTTGCACCAGCAGGGAGAGGGGGGAGCTGGCCCAGCTCCAGAGAGCCCCTGCCAGCTGGGACACTACCCCTGCCGCTGGCACTGGGACACGTATGCAGGCCCTGCTCCCGCACCCACTAACTCCCAGGGCCCCCCCAGCCCTGTGGTACAGGCGGGGGGCAGTGTGCAGCCCTGACCGCCTGCTCACCGGCAGGTAATGAGCTGGTGTGCGGCATGGGGAAAAACAGCCCCTCGCTGGCCCTGTGGCCAGCGCTCCCTGCTGCAGCTCCTCACAGCCTGCATGGGTCCTGAGCAGGCACAGGCAGCCCCATGTGGGCTGCGTGCAGTAGGTGAGGGGCCCTTCTCCTCCCCCCCAGCACTAGCTTGTAATCTGCCCCCTTGTCAGCCGGGGCCCCACACTGGCTCCGGGATCGCCTGTCGGCAGCAGCTGCAGTCCCCCCACCTGCCGTACTGGGCAGCATTTGCTGCTGCTGCTGCCCACCCAGAACTTGTGCGCTGGGCAGCCCAGAGTCAGCAGTGGCAGCCTCACTGCAGCATGAGCTTCA